CGGATCGTTCGCGGCGGCGCGGCTGAGCGAAGCGGGCTTCTGTCTGAAGGAGACGAAATCCTGGAGATTAACGGCATCGAGATCCGAGGCAAAGACGTCAACCAGGTGTTCGACATCCTGGTGAGTGTTTCGCTGCGAGCGCAGGTCGACTCCGGCTGAGCGTCGTCCGTGAGCTCAGGCGCTTTCACGATGATTTTGTGTGTTTGTGTCTAAACAGGCCGACATGCACGGCCTCCTGACCTTCGTGCTGATTCCCAGCAATCAGAGCAAACCTCCTCCCGTCAAAGAGAGCGTGGTGAGTGCTGCGACACGAACGCCTCGTTCCCGACGCGCTGAAGCGATGAGGGCGGACGCCTTCCTCTGACCCCGTGACTCTGCTCCGCTCCTCAGGTCCACGTGAAGGCTCATTTCGACTACGACCCCTCGGACGACCCCTACGTGCCGTGCAGAGAGCTCGGCTTGTCCTTCCAGAAGGGAGATATCCTGCACATCATCAGCCAGTCCGACCCCAACTGGTGGCAGGCGTACCGGGACGGAGACGAGGATAACCAGCCGCTCGCCGGCCTGGTGCCAGGTACGGCGGTCTGACGGAGGTTTTTATCTCAAGGGTTTGAAGAATTCTGCACAATGTGAGCGCGCTCAGAGCGTTTGATTTGGATAACAGAGAGCAGATTAGCAGCAACCTTTGACCTCCGTGACCGCTGTGATCACGTGACCGTTGGGACGGTTACTCGTGGCTTCCCTCTGCTGACTCCACACCAAACAGGAAGTGACATTTCACCTCGTGTACAGTGCCACCTTCTTACCCCCCTCAGTCCTCAGGTCCAGCTGCCCTCAGGGGGTGTCAGTAAGCTCCGCCTTTGTTTCCGGTTGCCCGTGGCATCAGCAGAATTCCAGCTGACGTGCTTTTCCAGTTGTTCCTGGATGATCCCGGGGTCTCCCCCATTTGAGCGTGCCCAGCTCACGCGAGCGTGGGCTCGCCTCTGTTTGTTTTCATACGTTGGACTGAAGCGTTTCCTCGTGTTTGGCGTGATCGTGTTCTCCCTGAGGTCAGCAGGTCAACATCAGGACGCGTCCGTGTTTCTGGTGTCAGCTGAGCAGCTCTCTGCTTCTGTCTCCACAGGGAAGAGTTTCCAGCAGCAGAGAGAAGCCATGAAGCAAACCATAGAAGAAGACGAGCCCGAGAAGTCCGGTCGGTCCCTGCTCCGCCCACGTTATGACCTCATTGCTGTAAAAACCCGTGTGGGGTTAGAGGTCATGTGACTCGTGCACTGAAGTGGTGTCTGTTTGCAGGGAAGCTCTGGTGTGGGAAGAAGAACAAGAGGAAGAGGAAGAAGCTGCTGTACAACCCTCACAGGAACGACGGTGCGTCAGTCTGTCCCCAGGCGGCGAGGAGGCGGAGCCTCAGCTCCTGCTCTACCCTCACTCAAACTCCACATGTCTCTTTTTCTTGTCTTTTGCTCCAGATCTCGATAATGAAGAAATTCTCACCTATGAGGAGATGGCGCTGTACCACCAGCCGGCCAATAGGAAGCGGCCGATTGCTCTGATTGGTCCGAGCGGCTGTGGGCAGGAACAGCTCAGGCAGCGGCTGCTCAACAGTGAACCAGAGCGCTTCGCTGCAGCTGTGCCTCGTAAGGATGTGTGTGTGTGTGTGCGTGTGTGTGTGTGTGTGTGCACGTAAACTAACTGTGTGTGTGTCGTAGACACGACGCGGAGCCGTCGCGAGGGCGAGCAGAGCGGTCGGGACTATCACTTTGTGTCTCGGCAGACCTTCGAGGCTGAGCTGGCGGCTGGTGAGACGTTTAAATCTATTCGTGATGACGTCGTTGAAATGTGCTCGATTTAAAGTTAAAGTGTTTAAACGTCCTGCGGAGCGCAGCTGTGACGTCCCAAACATGCTGAGGCAGAAATATGGACTCTGATGTAATGCCAGTTTGCACCACAAGGTGGTGCCAGTGCCTTAAGATAAAACTTTATTAATCCCTCGGGTGGGTTCCTCTGGGAAATTTGGTTTCCAAAAGCACAGCACCGACAGAAGTTACAGAATATTTTATATACACACACACACACACACACATATATATATAAATAAAATATACGAAGGGGATAAATAGAATAAATAGGAATAAAAATACAAGTGAAATTGCACATTTCAAGTATTGAGGTCTATTGCACCGTTGACTATTAACAGAAGTATTGCACAGTGAAGTGAAGAGGCACTACAGCTTAGTTGTTCCCCCCTCCTCTCCCCTCCAGAGAGGAGTTAAACAGTCTGATGGCGTGTGGGACAAAGCAGTTTTTAAGTCTGTTGGTTCTTTAAACTGCACCTGTGAGGCTCGGGGTGTCTGCAGGTCTTTAACTTCCTGTTGGTGTGAAGTGAGTTGTTTTTGTGTTTCAGGGAAGCTGATCGAGTCCGGAGAGTTCGAGAAGAATCTGTACGGGACAAGTACGGACTCAGTGAGACAGGTCATCAACACCGGGAAGATCTGCGTGCTGTGTCTGCACACACAGGTGTGTATGTGAGCACGCACAGGTGTGTGTGTGTGAGCGCACAGGTGTGTGTGTGAGCGCGCGCACAGGTGTACTGAACGGTCCTGCAGGGTGTAACCTGTAAGCAGAGCTGCATGCTTTGTTTGCTGTCAGATGATCAGACTGGATTAATGTGGCGGGAGGCGGGGTCAGTGTGAACGCTTTCATTGGAGGAAACGCTGATGTGTGGCCTGTGTGTGTTCTTAATAAAGCAGCAGTGACGGGGCGAGCGGGGGGCTGCGATTGGTTCACCTGCTGCTTGTCTTTTATGTTGGCTGTGACGTCAGCAGAATCTTAATAATCGCAGTCTGGAGGTGATGATCAGCTGATCCACGTCATGCTGCCTACACCTGCAGCACAGCTGCAGCACAGCTGCTTTTATCTGCACTGGGTCTCAAACTGATTTCACTGGAGAGGCTGAAGCAGAGTTTGAATATGAGAAGCAGCTGATTCCAGATGTGTTATTCTCATTGATCTCCTCTTAAGATGAGGCCAGCTCCCAAACGCCGTCTGAAGAGCACGAGCTGTGCTGCTTCAGTGTGAAAGGTCACAGCTGTGATGAATGAGTGTGAGGTCAGTGCAGAGCCTGCAGACAGTCACATTTGCATGAAATAAACGGAGTCTAATCAGATGAAGTTCTTTGCAGCTTTCAGACTTTATTCAGAAAATCAGACACATGAATGTTTTCAGCATTTTAACAGAATTGAAATCATCAGCTTAACAGTTTGGAAACAAATCAGCTTCCTGTGTTCGGTCACAGGATGTGGCTTCAGGGATGATGTCGGCCAGCTTGATGTTAAACTCGGTGCTGCTGTCACTATGGGACTCGTGTCTTTGCAGCGATGCTTGGGTCTGATGAACGGCTGCTTTTTGCTGGCTGCACTTTAAATACAGTTACCATTAAATATGTTCTGTTCTGGGAAACATCTGATACACTGAAAAGTATTGCCTGGTCTGTAACACCGGAATATGTTCGCATAACCGATCTTTTCTGCAAGAAGTTTCTAACTCATCATCAGAAAACAAGAGATTACCGTGTTTATCTGTTGTGTATGGCTGTGTAAACACGAGGGCATGCTGTGGCCAGTTTGTCATCAGTGTAATCAATTCCAAAATGTTTTCTAAAGGGTTGTCTGGGTTTGCACATCTGTGTGCACATGGAGACAGGTATGTGTACAGAAGTATAAAGTTATTTTCATATTTTTTGCTCCACGCATCGTAAATGTATTTCAAAACGAGGGGTACTACACTATATGGTTATATGGCATTTTATGTAATATACAGCATTGAATTGAGCCACTTCAAATATATTAATCCCAACAGTGGCTAACCTGATCAATTTAAGTGTTCATTAAGTCCTATGCATCATCCCTTTTTAAATAAACATGCTTAGTTCAGACGCTGCTGGACCTGAATCAGAGCTCTGAGGTCCCCGGCACTCTGCCTCCACCTGCAGCCCCAGGTCACACTAGGTGGAGTTCTCCACCTGATTTTACCTGCACCTTATTGAGCTCATCTTAAAATGAGGCCAGTGTGAAGAACAAAAAACACAAGCTGAGCTGCTTCAGTGTGAAATATAGTATTTATTCACAAAATCAGAGAATCACATTTTTAATGTTTCAGTATTTCTAACAGAACTGAAATCATCAGCTTTACAGTTTGAAAACAAATCATTCCTAACTGCTGCTGGATGCCCCCGACTGTTGTTCAATGCACTCATCAACAACTGTGTTCTGTGGACCTGAGAAGCATGTGACACAGCGAAACGCACCAATCGCTGGCTTGTAACAACGTAATATGTTTGTGTAACCGATTGTTTTAGCGAGTTCAGAAAGAGCAGTTTTTAATTCTGCTTCAGAAACGGGAGCTAAGTCTTTTGGATGAGAGTAAGGTTTCTGAAACACCAGGGCATGCCCTTTCCAGCTCGCCATCACCCCGATTGATTCCACAATGGTTCTTCTGTGGCTTGGACTCGCACATATGTGTACACATGGAGAGAGATATGTGTAGACAAGGAGGAAGTTATTTGTGTGGTCATTCATCCACCTACTCTCAATATGTTTCAAAACACGGTATTCAGCATGTTCAGTTCCCTGGTGTGGCACTTCTACTGGTTTTGCTGCCACCACAGACTGACCAGCGTAAAATTTCTCAGGGTCGTTGAAAAAGTCTTGCATGTTTGCATCTGTGTCCTGTGAAAGCAGCTCTGCAAGGTCTGGATGCGGCTGTTTCACCAGCTGCTCTGGGATCTTCACAGCAGCACAGAACTGACCCCTTTCTGTATACCTGCCCAGGAAAGCATGCTTTAGACGACGCCTTTAATCTGTGACTGATGCTGACGTGAGGTGCTGGTGTACTCACCTCGTCCTGATGATTTCTACAGTTTTAGTCAGCCACTGCACATCAACATCACCCAGACTGGTTCCAGCTGACAGCAGCAGGGCCAGCACGGTCCAGGACAGGACACACCTCTGCACACCTGACATGATGTAAACTGCACACCTGCACAGGTCACATTGGTGTTGTTACAGCTCAGCACACAGTGACCTCTGCTAAAGTTTTCTCCACGCTGAGGGACAGAATCAGACTCACCTGTGGAGTCGGGTCGTCGTTTGGTGACTGAGGCTCAGTGTGGCGGCTCGAGGGTTTTATAACGGGCACGCTGACGTGTCTCAGCGGCTCCTCTGTCCAAACACCACGTAACATGTAAATGTTTCTGAGTTACATTAACATTATCTCCTCTTCATGGAAATGAAACAAACGGTCTCCAACGGCTGTAGCGAGGACTTCACAGCTGATAAAGTAGAAGTTAGACTGGAGTTGATGGTGCATCAGAGGACAGCGAGTGAATGAGGCCGTTACTCTGCCATCTTTAACCTGCAGCTCTGACACAAACGCTTCCTCCAAACCACGCCGAGTATTTCCTGATTCCAGCTGTGAGAAACATCCCAACCTGAAGCCTGACCAAGTTCATGTGTACAGAGTTGCAGCTCCGATGAATCACGAGGAAGCGAAACACGAGAAACTCTGAACCTCTGAAACGATTAATGTGGCACTGTGGCTAAAACCTTGGCATCATTCACATCTTTGATTTTAAAATCCTCTGAGTGTACTGAGGCAGAACGAGGTGCCCAGGTTCAGTTTTATGCTTTCCACAATCTTTGAGAGAGGACTGCGTCATGTTTTCTTTCAGCTTGTATATGAAGGTCAAAGGTCGAAGCAGTGTTTTCAGAAAGTCGTCTATCCCAAAGGTCTGCGCATCCAAACACAAGGACGAGTCTATGATAGCCTGGATGGAGCTGAGCCCTGAGAACAAAGTGCATCAGTTTACCTGACGTCCTGTGAATGCACCGTTGGACCTCACCATGCAGCTCAGAGTTGAGCTTCTGTGCTTCCATGATGAAGATCATTCTGCTTATCTGGGTTCCTATCAGTGACAACAGTAACCATGAAGCCCAGACCTGCCTCACCACCTCCCCCAGCTCGTCCTGGGGTCACGGAGTCGTCCCCGAGCTGCTGTCAGATACAAGCTGTGTCCCAAAACGTCGGCTGCATCCTCCTGAGGACCCTTCGCGGTCTACGTGGGCCGGGTCCTTCAAAGACCGAGAAGGTTTGAGCCAACAAGCTAATGGGAGCTCTGTGCAGGTGACCGGGTACACCTGCAGAAAGCCAAGAAGCTGTTCATACCTGGTAACACCTGTGCTGAAGCGCTTTCTCCACTGTTTTTATACATG